CAGCAGGAAAAATATTGTGTCAGGCCCGAAATTTTGGACGGGATGAATAGCATAGACGATGATGATAGGTGAGCAGTGAAGGTGGAACTGCATGTAATGGTGTCGTAGAAGGTGAGCGGAAGATAGGCAGTGATGGATTACCCAAAAGATGAAAATGGCACCTAATGAATGGAGGGACGCTCAAAAGAAGAGGGTGCAAAGTAGAGTTGAGTTTCAAAACAAGTCACATCGGCATTATGAAGTATCACTGGAGATTGGGTGAGTAGCACCCAAGATCCCTTTTGTACCCTCAAATAACTAAGAAATACACATTTAAAGCATTAGGAACACTTTGGTCTTTTCCTAGAGTGAAGTTAAGGAACAAACACGTGCTACCAAAGACACAAGTGAAGGAGAGAACAAAGGTGATTGAGGAACATAACAAAGTGTAGACTCAATTCAAGATGACTGAGGAAGGCATACGATTAACCATAAAACAGGATACGAGTAATGCATCCCTAAAAAATACAATGGTTTATTTTTATCGAGTAAAGCATTTTCATTCATAAACAGGGTCAAACTGGTTGTATACAAGGTATATACCAAAAGGTAGAGAATTCACAAAAAGATACGATTCTCTATGAACTCCACCCAACCATTGGAATACTACAAGGTTTGTGATAAGGCACGTATCTTCCATACTTATTCAAGGAGGAAGAAGTGAAGAAAGATAAGAGGAGAAAATGATTTGCATCTTCTCAAATTCCTGGAGGTTTCACCCATGGAGCAATAAGTAATTTCTTACAGTTATTAGGAGTTATTTGGCAGTTCCTTATGGTTACTGGAAGTTATCTATCCTTATCCTAAATAGTTATAAAGTAGTTATAAGTTATCTATTATATATTAGGAGATCTAGTAAATAAGTGGCTACATGGTAATATATCTTTTATATGCAGAAAAGGTTGTTCTAAGAGATACAAGATACTTGTCTCTCTTTGTATTTTCTACTGTTCTACGAGATACGAGATACTTGTGTCTCTTTTTGTATTTTCTGTTGCTTTTATCCAGTAAAAATCCTCGGTTTCTATCAGTTTGGCTGCCAACTTTTCAGTTTCCACAAGTAGGTCAATAATTTACTTTCTTTGAGACAGAATAATTCCTTTCTTATTTCTATTTACTTCTACTCCCTAAAAGTATTTCAACTGGACTAAGTCCTTTGGATAATACCTAGCATGCAAGAAAGACTTAAGGAAGAGATCCCCTCAGAATAACCTCATGTGATGACAATGTCAATAAATATACAGCAAGAAGGATAGTGCCAACTGCAGATAGTCGGCAGAAGACAAAATGATCACATTTGCTCATTTTCAGCCCAAACTCATGAACTATCTCACTGAATTTGCCAAACCAAGCTCGAGAACTCTGCTTCAAGCCATAAAAGGCCATTTTCAAATGAAAAACTTTTGTATTCTCACACTGAGCAACAAAATTAGGTGATTGCTCCATATACACTTCTTTTTTGAAGATCACCATGAAGGAACACATTCTTGATATCAGACTAATGTAATGACCATTTCTCAGAAGTAGCTAGCGAAATGAGCAAGCTTGGCAACCGGAGAGAAGGTGTCTGAATAATCCACCCCATAGGTCTGAGCATATCTTTCAACCACAAGTCTGACCTTAAGCCTTGCCACAAAACCATCTAGATTAACTTTGACTGTGAACACCCATTTACATCCCATTGGTTTCTTTCTGTTCGGTAAATCCACCAAATTCCATGTGATTTTCTTCTAATGAATGTATTTCTTCAAGCATCACATTTGACCATCCAGGGTGATTCAAAGCCTCCTCATAGTTTTGGATACAAAAACAGAGTCTAGAGAAGCAATCAAAGATTCTGCTCAGTAAATCCACCCAATGTGATTTTCTTCTAATGAATGTATTTCTTCAAGCATCACATTTGACCATCCAGGGTGATTCAAAGCCTCCTTCATAGTTTAGGATACAAAAACAGAGTCTAGAGAAGCAATCAAAGATGTAGATATAAAAGATAAGTAATCATCGAAAACAAAGTTAGCAATGGAATATATGGATTTGCAATTTTGTGTACCTTTGCAAAGAGCATTAAGAAGGTCAAGGGTTTCCGGAGGATCATGTGGATTAGATAACAAAGGAACTAGTACAGAGTACATAGGTTTCTTGTCTCCTCGAATAAACTTGAACAAATCACGGTCTTGCTGGAACATGTGTTGAAAGCGCAGTAGTGGACTGGGGCTCAAAAGAGTAACTAGGTGATGGAAGAATAACATCACCTGATTGCACAACACGAGTAACCTAATAAACTAAACACTCATCTTTCTCCCCATGACTAGTAGAACGGGGGGGCGGGTAGAGAAGAATGGTGTAGTCTCTAAGAATACCATATCATTTGACACCAGATATTTGCCAAGTTCAGTAAAATAATATCACTACTCCTTCCGAAGACAATAATAACCCAAGAAAACACACTTTAACGCCTTAGGGTCCAACTTGGTAACAAATGACTGAACATCTCAAACATAACACATACTTCCAAATACCTTTGGTTCTACAGGAAATAATGACTTGTTTGGAAAAAACATGGTAAGACATATTACCAACAAGCACATGCGACGACATATGATTACTCAAAAAACAAGTTGTAGAGATTACATCAGCCGAAAATCGTTAAGGAACAATCATTGGAACAAAAGAGCCCAAGTTGTCACAAGTAGATGCCTATTCTTCCTTTCAGCAACTCCATTTTGAGAAGGTGTATCAACAAATGATGACTGATGGAGAATATTGTGTTCTCTCATGTAGGGCTGAAACAACTCTGACATGTATTCTTTAGCATTATCACTCCTTAGAATATGCACCAAAGCATTGAATTGAGTTTTTACTTCGGCACAAAAGGCATAAAAGTGAGTAAACACTTCAGAGCGACTTTTCATAAAATCAATCCAAGTCATCCGAGAGAAATCATCTTCGAAAGTGACAATATACTTGTCCAATTTTAAAAACAACAGGACATGGTCCCAAAACATCATAATAAATGCTCAAAAGCTAACTCAACCTGTATATTAGCCCTTGGACATAACGTACTGCAATGATGTTTTGCAAATTGACATGATTCACAATCCAAAGAAGGAACATTTGGAAATCGGGGAAATAGCTTCTTTATGTATGACGCACGATCTACACCAATCATCCTTCCTGTACGACAATATTGTATGACAACATAGTCACTAAAGACTGATATGGAACAACTCAGAGTACAACACAAACAATTGATTGGCATAATTTTAATAACCAAGGATATAAAGAGCATTATCAGAGTAAAGGTGAAGGGGGGGGCTTGTCAAACTCCAATCGCCATGGTATGAGATCCGTTAGCAGAGGTAAAAATTGAAAGGGATTGGTAATAACATGGTGTGTAGGCTATGACAACACTTACATGGACTGAAGCAGTCGCTTCGAGCATGGTTCAAGTTACTGAAATCATAGCTAACACAAAAAACATGTGATCCAAGAGAGATGTGAAATATATGATGGTTTTGACATAACCACAATGCTAGCAATGTCGAAAAATAGAGTAAAGTCTGCCCTGAGACTAGAAACTGAGACAATTGCCAAAATCGAGAAACCTTTGCCAGAAAGTAGAAGAAGTCCTTGGAATGTTGTGGAATCTAGATCGATAGGCTCAGCTTGAAGAGGTGACCACTTGAGAAGGGATCCCTTTGTTAGGAACCGTGTAGAAGGTCTTTCATGCGCAAATATACATGACTATCTATACTAGAAAAATCTTCGCTTTGGCGCATGGGAGGTCAGATGGCAGCGAGACTGGCTGGAGTCTGGTCTCACAGTGTCCTCGTCCTTGTAGTAGAGTAGGTTTGATCATTATAGACTTAGAAACAAGAATAACCTGAAAGTCGCCAAAAAATGCAAAGCGGCAAATTTCTCTTCCTATGTGTTGCTGGTAAATGCACAACTTCTTGTCTCAACCTCGCTTTGATACCATGCGAGAAAAAAAGAGAGAAAACAGAAAACAACTTTGATTATTCCCCCAAACTATTGGGTTTAAATAACTATGTTACATGCCCTAATAAAGGAAAGAAAATAAATATATATAATTACATGGAGCAAATCAAGTTATATATTGTATTTACATTATTCTAGACTATACACAAGATTCTAACATTGTGCATGATTTTTACATGGCATAAACCTTAGAAGTCTTCCGTTATTCCCATGAAAAAAGAGGACAATAAAAGAGATAAATTTCCACCAAAATATGAAAGGAACAGCCTCATTTTTCTACTTCCCTAGATCCTAGTGATTTCTAGGTCTATTATTCTGTTTTATCTATTTGAAGGCATTTTTAATAAAAGAATAGAACACTCATTTTCCCTTTGATCTCACTTTAGAACGAGCTCCTCTAATTTTTGCTGTGCTTTTGCCTTTTGGACCCATCAACACTTCAATGCATGTTCCTGCTACCAAACATAACAAACCATCAAGCTCAACTTATCTTGTACTCTATAAAACCTACCAATTTATATTCCTGTTGTAATGCACAAAATCCACTGCTTCCAGCATCCATCACTTCTTCTTTTTTTCTTTTTGGAAAGGTCCACTCCAACCTATTACTTGAAGATCCACCCAAAACTACTAGTTTACTACTATATATTTTGCCGGTCTAAACCATGGCACAGTAAGTGGTGCTGACAACTTTTGAAGGACATAGCAGGATTAAATATACACGCACACAAATACAATGTGCTTGTGTGTGTGTTGGGGGAGGGGGGTCTTCAGAGACCATTTCATTCATCAATATTTTGTTCTTTTGCAAAATTGGCTCGAAGTTTAAAATCGTCTTTATTCATTTCACAAAATTCAGAGCACATAATAGAAACAAATACTTAAACAATGCTAAACAGTTTGCTAGTAAATGAACTACTGAAATTTGCTATTAACTCTCAGAGCAATGTCAAAAAACTCACTAATGTTGAGATGCTGCAATCCGAGTATATCGGAGAAGTATTTACAAGCTGCTCTTTGTCAAGATCCCAAGCCATGATAGAAGAAATCTTACCTGATGCAAACTGATGAGGAATTTAAAAAAGTCAAATCGACATAAAAGCAAATGAGTGAAATCTCTACTTAAGTAAACTCATGCAATGAGATCACTTGTAATAGACGTCATGGCTTGAACCACTCTCACTTTCTGTAAATAGTTTTTGACACCACCTAGGTGGAATATTAGTAAAATGACATTTGATTTAACACAAATAACGATGATTACTTTTGGTGCATGCACTTAGGAAAACAGTAAGTTATATAAAACTAAAATGGAAATATCACACTGCTTTGCATTCATTGACTAAATTCTTAGTATTAAATGTGTTACACAATATGTACCAGGTATCCAGATTGCTGCTGCCAATCCACAACAGCATTCACACTGCGAGAACCTGGTCTGAGACATTGAATTGAAGAGAATGCAGAAACTAGTTTCTGTTGACCTCTTGCAGTATATTCTTTCCAAATCCGTATGTTGCCATCGCCTTTTATAAATGAACTTTGTTAAAAATTAACGCATCAATGATTGTGCACCGTCAGTACTCATAAAAAAAATCTGTAGTAGCAAATTTTTACTTGAAGCAACAAGGAGCAAACTCTCATCAAGCTCATTCACGAGGCAAATCTTTGAAATTCCTTTATCAGGGTAACCATGATTGTCGAAGCTGTTAAGAAGGGTAGCCTCCTAGTAATTCCAGACCCTGTAATACACAAAGGTACAAGTAGCATGAATTTCTGCAACTGCACAAAGAAATTGTGAAGCGGAAGAGAAAATGAGAGGAACTCGGCTTGATTATTCCCTCAAACGATTGGGGTATAAATAACTATGGTTACAGGTCCTAAAAAGGAGATCCCTATCCGATTACAATATGAGTAAATTAAGATACCTACTATATTTACATATATTCTAGAACTAGGTAAGGTAAGCCTGTGCTAAGCACATGCCCAACATGGTGACTACTAAAAAGTTTTAAGGAATTTTTTCATGATTATCCACCGTCATAAAATATTAACCCTTTTACAATCATTTATAGAATCCATTTCTTTAAAATGTTGCATTGCAGTAGTTATGTACATTGTACATCTTAGAGATATATAATTCATATATTGTATACTATAGTGATATATAGTTAACAACAAGAATAGTTGCATCACACTATTGTATACCTTAATACAACATGTGGATGTATACTTTGAAGGTATTAAATAATATAATTGGAAGGTTAACTATTAGTTAGTTACTAAATTCTTAATAAGTAGTTTTTTACTAATTTCTTCTTAAGAGTTTCGAAAGATCCATACCCAAAAGAATATTTCGCTAGTAGAAAACAAAATAGGTCTTTAAACTTCACAATTTAAAATATTTATCATACTTGAAGAAATATTTGTTGTTTCGGTCGGACAATAAACTAAATACTATTGACCTATGATTTGGTTCACAGGCAATATATAGTTCAAATTCTTTTACTTTAAGTTATTGCCTTGAAATTCGTTGAGGCGAAATGGTCTCCTGTGACCATTTACAAATGTGGATTGAAGAAAATGACCTTCTCAATAAGCAATATAATAAGAGTTTAACTGATTATAAAACTGACTGCTGAGTAATTATAATAAAGATTGCATTTTTTTTCTTTAGAATATCGGAAAAAATTGAAGTGTTGGTTTGCTATCTTAAGCCACCCAAAAGAGGAATTATTCCAAATAACAGTCCAGTTCATGTAATAATGCATTTAGGTTGTCTTGGTTGTTTTGTTTTTCTTTAACCATTTCCCTAAACTGTCAACAAACTTTTATTTTTTTCGTGGTGTGCGGGACTAGCTTTCATGCATTTCAACTAATTCCACACGATACCTACACCTCCCACTAGCAACAAGTACCAGGTAACTATGTTCAACAAGGCTACCACAGATGGGAAGAAATCACCTAGTATTTTTGTATCACCTAGTATTTTTGTTTCTACTGGGATTTGGGATTTGAACGTGAGACCTCATGATTCTCACTCACTTCATTGAACAAGGCCACATCCATGGGTGCAACTGTCAACAAGTTTTCATCACAGATTACTTAATACACTACCTATTTTGCTGATATAATAGATAGGTGAGAGAGAAAACTACTGTTTGACTAAAACTATCAGGATCACACATTATCCTAGAGGTAAAGATTGCATCCTCAATCTCCCTTATCTGGAGATCTATTTAACTACAGATGCACACAAAAGCACAAGTTGCAAAGGTGAACAAAAGCTACGCAGAGAGAGAAACAAAAGTTTTCAGCAGGCCCACATTTTTACAGAATTGATAGTTCAAAAGGCTGCCAAATGCAGCATGTGGCATGGCAATTTGAGGTGGGACCTACACTTTCAGCAAACATATCAAGTATGTACAAGTGATAAAGCTATAAGTACAGTATCTTGATTAGACTTTGAAATTCTGAAAATACCCTCCTAAGCAGGATGACCCTAAGCTACTCCTGCTCCCGCTTCTATATTCGTAGTAATATTCACAATGATGCTAACACTCCCCCTGAAGTTGGTGCAAGCAAATTATATGTACCAAGCTCACAAACGTGTTCACAAAGTCCCTAGCCTAGAACAAGCTATATATGTAACAAGCTTGACACATAATTTGTATTCACCACTTAAGGGGGAGTGCTAAAATATTCACAAGGATTCTACGACTCCCTATCAAGCTAGTGAATATAATTTATATGTCTGCAAATTGATCATTTGACCGCATGAACCTTGTGACTATGTCTCTTAAGAGTACCTTCTATCTGAAAAAATGACAATCAATCTCTAGGCTCCAGTTTGCCAGCGCGTGAACAGATCCTGTTAGAATCTGGGATGCTCTGGTCGGCTCATGAAGTGGCAGACAGTAGTGGAGCTGGTTGGGGATTGTTCATGTTAGTGTTCCAGTACTCATAGCGGGTATTGGTTTGATCACAACATCTACGAAAACAAAGTTGTCTTCGGACAACAGTAAGAGGTTGTCTAAAAATCTTCTTTCTATATGTTGCTGGCCGTAACTACGCTTTAATACCAAGTGAAGTGGAAGAGAAAATGAGAGGAACTCAGCATGATTATTTCATCAAACTATTGGGGTTTGAATACTTGTGTTTACATGTCCTAAAAAGAAAAGAAAATCAGTACAAATCAATACCTAATTACAATAGGAATAAATTAAGCTACCTACTATATTCATTTGTTCTAGAATATTCACAAGGATTCTAACAAACATAAATTTAATAGAATATCATCTGTTCCTTTACGGGTCTACAATCCAAGGGAATGGGTAGAACGACAAGGATGTTGCACATCGTATTGGAGCGGGCGGATGAAATAAAGGCTCACATCTTGTGTCCTATGTGAATATGTCACCGAGACTTAAAGGTAGTTTTATTTTATAGAGTGATTGTTAGATCGACTATGTTGTACAAGATGGAGTATGGCCAGTCAAGAACTCCCCTGTTCAGAATATGAAGTTAGAGGAAATGAGGATGCTTAAATGGATGTGCGGGCATACTAGAAGAGACAGGATTAGGAACGAAGATATACGAGGCAAGGCTGGAGTAGCCTTCATGTGTGGACAAGGTGCGGAGGTTGGTAGTGATAGGTTTGAAGAGAGATAGAGGTTAACTGAGAAAGAATTGGGGAAACGTGATTAGACAAGATATGACTATCTTTAGTTTACTGAGGAAATGATCCTAGATAGAGAGCATGGAGGTCGAAGATTAGGGAAAACAGCAAGTAGGTTGTAGAGCATTTTCTCTCTTCATAGTGGTCATGCAAGGTTCTAGTCTTGGTGCATCTATTTGTTCCCTTGTCGTACTATTACTACTATGCTAGCATTATCTTATGCTTCAGATTTATCACAACTATTATTTCCTTTATTTGGTTATCTTCAATATTTTTACTATTGGTACTTTTGTTCCTTCAATATTTTCATCATAGCTTTTTACTCTTACGTTTATTTCAGGTTTTTTCTGAAAAACGATTTTCTTAAGTCGAGGATCTATTAAAAACAACCTCTCTACTGCATAAAGGTAGGGGAGGTCTGCATACACCCCCACCCTCTCCGGACCTCACTCGTGGGAATATACTAGGTATGTAGTTGTTGTATCATTAGTTCCTTTATCATGCAAAAGAAGCTCAATATATCAGACCTAATGGCCAAAAAGTTGACCATGTAAAAGAAACTCAATAACTCAAACCTAATGGCCACAAAGTCAAGAAGTTGTTCTGAGGTGATGCAACATAAGGGGTGAGAAGACTAAGAAAGAAAAGCAAAAATAAGCAAGAACACCTGATCCAAACACCATACAAGAGTGAGGTCAAAAAAAGACTTCAATATAAATAGCATCTATTTTTTGAAGCTCTAAGAAGATATGGCGATTATTCAGAAAGCAGGCATAGTTCCAGGACATGTTTCCTAACATTGGCCTGCATCTAGTCTTTCCACTTGAGAATGATTGCTTACCAGCAAAGCAGCATTTGTTGGTTGAAATGACAGATTACACATAGCTCCAACGACTAACCTAGAACTTGAACTAACCGACCCTTCCCGCAGTACTACGAGAGAAGATCGTGAAAAAGGAACGATGGAAACAATGTCTTCATTCAGGCCAATATTCCTCTACCTGATCCGTTCACTCTCATCTGAAGCAACCACAAATGGTGAGAAGGGATGCAGCAAAGCAGTTCTGGTACCACTCTCAAACTTTGTATCCCAACTGGCAATTTGATTATGCAGTCTGTTCACCGCTGAGACAAAGAAGTAAGCATTGGCCAAATTAGACACATTTAAGATAAATGATGACATACACATGAAAGATGGTAGTGGGAGAAGGAATGAACCATAAGCCCAGTAGACTCACAACAGTGCTGGCATTTGGTGATGAGGTCAAGAGCTAACTTCTCCTTCTCTTCTCTCCTAGAAATGATATCTTCATTATCATCAGCTGCAGTAAGAAGTGGCTTTGAGAAACGGCCACAGCTCCAATTATAAATGGTTGAATGTGGAATAGAACTGCGTTCTGAAGCTCTAGAAGATCCACCAGAACCCAAGAGGGGATCAGCTAACGCTGAGTCTTGAGAGTTCATTGGGTGATGCCTGAAGTCTAAAGAATAAACTCTTCGCAATCCCGTTAAGAAACTGGACTGGGGGGGACTGACAGGAGGAGTCCTAAAAGGCACAGGTAAACGCCTACCTGCAACAGTTCAAGTAAAGGATGGTATCAAAGGGGAACATAATTACTTGAAAAAAATAATGAGTATTGAGGGAAATACTTGAACATCAAGGTTGACACTGATGGATTATGGGGTAGAGAAACTACAGTAATATTGACTCCTAGTCTCCTTTGAGTACTAAATATACCTCCACGCATGTCAAACCAAGAAGATGATCGATTCAATCCAGCAGATCTAGGGCCAGGAGATGTTGTGGATTCAACAGTTGACTTGACTGACTTGGCGAACACTTGGTCAATCCCAATAATTGAAAGCACTCTACAGCCAAGACCTGCAACACGAGGTGATGGATCCTTTGCCAGGGCACACATGGCCTGCACAGACTTAGTATAGAGTGAATTGTCAAGTGGTCTGGGTCTTATATGATTAACAACACCATCGCTAGCAGCATCACCCAGTCTTCCAGAATCAGAATGATGAGAAGAACCATCAGACAAAGGAGATCCATGCATGAAGCCAGGTGTTGCAACAGGGCTGCTAGTCGAGACCCTACCATCGTGAGAGATAGACGGACTGTCACCTCCCACTCTCAATAAAGGAGCATTAGGAGATGGAACTACACTTCCATGTGGAACATAACAAGTTGGCGTCGTATAGCCACTACCTGAACTCTTGACCGTAGAAGAAGGCAAGGAAGTGGGCATGGAATTAGATTGACTCTTCAAATATGCAGCTACAACCGACTTCAGGTGCACCTTATGCCCAAAGGCAAAACGTGCCAAGGCTACAAGAATGAAGCAACATGAACAAGCTAGGTCATATATTCTGTCCACAAGAGTAGATCAGGCACAAGATGAAGAAGAGAGGAATGAGGAGAAATCAGAGAATTAGACGTGCTATTAAGGGAGTAGATATCAATTGACATGCATTATATCTCATGCATTTATGTATTGAAACAATTGCAGCTAACTTATATTTAATTCTTTTTGAAAATAATAGAGCAAGCACGGAGAAAAGTTTCGCCATTCTACACTTATTTATGCACCAGCTTGTGTGCACCTTGGCTATTCCACCAGGTACCTCTCACCAGCACAAGTACTGGGTAATTCTGCCCATCAAGCTTAGGCAGATGAAAAAAATCATCTAGTGTTTTTTCACCTCTGCGGGAGTATGAACCTGAGGCCTCATGGTTCTCCTCCCATTTAATTAACTAGGTAACACCCTTGGGTGCTACTTATTTTTTTATTTCCCTTTCTCCTGCCTTAGAGCAACTTTGAATCGAACAACTGGTATGCTATTAAATACTGGTATCATTCAGCATTAACCTGCCTCTTCAAAGAGAAAGATAAACAAAATTCATAGTCTGGACAGATTTAGTTCAGGAGGTGTCCTCATCATACAAGAAATGTAGTGGCACACTGTTTTAGAGTTATCATCAAATTTCTACAATAATTAAACCTGCAATATTCTCCCCTAACACAAAGAAAGAATAAATATGGGACAAATCAGAAAGTAAGTTAGGAACAGCAGGAAGTGCACCACAAAGAAAGTCTCCTTGGGGTGGAAATAATTCAGTAAAAACATACCAACAGCAACCTCAGCTCGTACCAATGCGCTTGCATCAGAAACAACACTTAAAAGGCACTTCATTATGACTTCTGCCCCAATTTTTTCCTCATTGTCGTAGTCTTCATCCTCTCCAATGTCATCCTTAGATGTATCAAACCCAACATCAAGTAAAGTACCTAGTGCAAATATAGATGCAGCTCGTACCTGAAATAAATTGCTCTTTTAGTCAAAGTCTGAAAAAATAATGGAGAACCATACTAATAATACACCAACTTGACATATAATTAAACAACAAACCTCAGGCTGCGATTGAGAAAGTAAAGGCACAAATATTGCTGGTGCATCTGCCTGCAAACCTAGTACTTGTGCCTCTGTGAAATCCTCCCAGAGCTTTCCCAGACAAAGGCACAGCCATTGAAGAAACAATGGTTCAGTTTGGACATCATTATAGGTTGATCCCTGAAGATGCTTCAAGCAGACATTAATAAGCCCCACTTCAATACACGCCTCCTGACCCCGTCTGTGACCATCAGCAATTACTGCCAAGACAAATGCAGCCATTGCCCTTTGCTCTGGATAAGCATCAACACTATTGAGAAATCTAATGAAATATGCATGTCCACCATCCTTAACAAGGTCAACCTGGCAAGACTGTCATCTCACAGGAAAAGGGTAATCTAATGAATATTAAACTAGAGGATCATAACACTTAAAGTGAATCAAGACACACAAACCAAATAAGATAGTTATCTAAGACAAATGTCAACACGAAGACTCTGAAAGAAAAGAAAGAAACCTTAACATTTCAACATTACATAGTTTCTACACAGTATAATCGATCAAAAGAAAGAAAACGCTCAGTGACAAGCATTGAATGAAAGGAGGAAAGAACATATTCTGTCAACATTACAGATTCCACAACTATATCATTAGATCTAGGTAACATCAGGATAAAGAATAAGAGAGCACTCAAGATAGCTCAACATCCTGACAAAACATAAATACAAACTACAAGTGTAAATCTAGTGGTGATCTCTTCCGTTCCAATTTACGGCTTGGTTGATGGAGCTGGTGTGGAGGTTCTGTTTTTCGTTACTTTTTTCTTAGAACAGCACAACATGCATTAATTAATTTGTGTGTAGCCGAAAGAAAATAACTTTAAATAATGCAATAAGTCAGAAACCAACTTCGTATTGGTGCTTAACATAGTGAAACAAGCATCCAATGGTTTGTATCCAAGATCACAAAAAAGAAAAAGAAAATAAGAAGATTAAGAGGAAAAAGTGCATAATTGAGTTGGAAACCCACCACATATCCATGATCTGTTTGGATGTGTTGGATTTACATAGCTAAAATATAGATGATATAGACCAGATTTTAGATTTGATAGGAAATCTGTAATTATCCCTTTTTGGAGGTAGCCAGCATACCCTTAATGCTTAAGAATGCAACCTTACCAGTTCCGGAAAAAAAAAGATCACTACAGGATCGCATTACTATTTGAAGACACATACCAAAGCAATAAGTAAATTTTATTCAACAATTGTGAAACCAGTAATGTAACATAGTAGTGATTGTTGAGCATCTACGACCCAACATATCCATAAGATTAGTATTCTAGAAATGTGAACGTTAAGATGTTAATCCAAGATGAAACAAGGTCACACTAACCACATTCAACAGAACAACATACATAAAGGATAAAAATGGCAGGTCATCTAAGATGTACAATGTCTTAGGTAGACCTTCAAATGCACCCATAAGTGATACTACGAACATTCAAAGTGTTACTTGTGCTTTTGAAAAAGCTCCCAGACACAACAATCGAAGAAATGTCCAAGCCCCACCAGGGTCCCTTTCCCCACTATTTTCCGGTGATCGGAAGGCATCCCCATTCTTCTTTTCTTCTCCCTTTCCTTGCAATCGACTTCAAATGGACGACAATATTTATTTTGCAGTTGGCTTCAAGGCCTACGACATCACAAGAACATCTGGTACGGCAGGAGCCTAGTACGACTGGACGGAAAGAAATAGAAACTCTATTACGATGCCAATCTGGACTGATTCGCCAATAAGGGTATTCGCTAGAGAAGATTTTAACTCTGAGGTCATTACCCAATGGCTATGAAATGGAGAACCATTAGGTAAAGAGGAAGATCCTCTGCAAAGTCAAATAGCAGCGGATACAGCTGACAGAACACTTGCTATGACAGAGGCACATGGGCAGGCCATCAAAATTAATGGAGGAGTGGGTCGGGGCAAGCTCAATTCGGCACAAAGCCCAACTCTATCAAGAAACTAGTGACTCAATTTTTACAGGCCTACAACAGCTAGGAAACATCGACAATCGTAGAAAACATTGAGACCTCTGCTAATCTATGCCACAGAGAGACGACAGATAAAATGAAAGAGGTATTCGGACCAATTCTCAGTGAAGTGAAGAGGATCGATCAATCCAGGGAAATTGGGGAGAACTCAGGGGTACAAAATCTCCAAACGGCGACATGAAATTCAGCAGATTCATGATGATGAGCCGGTAGACATAAAAAACCTGGGTACCAAACTGGTGGCGGGATCAAAGCATCCAGTTGGGTGAATTCCTGTATTCTGGAACTTAGCAAAACATATGGAGTGGTGTTTGAAGTTTGCAGGGGAGAAACACATGCACTACTGATGAGGCTCGATGAATGAAAGAGTGCGATGAAAAAGAAGGGGCAAACAGTGCAGTGTCAACACCTAGACACAAAGGAATTGACAAGAATTAGTTGAAGAACATTTGAATGAGGAAGTTAATGGCGTAAGAAACAGAGGGAGAGTTCTGTCACTAACTCACCAATGAAAGTAAAGATTGTATCTTGGAATGTCAGGGGTATTAACAAGATTTCTGCAAGGAATCTGGTTAAGAGCTCTCTTCTGAAATGGAGAGTTGATGTTTACTGATTACAAGAGACAAAAGTTACCAAAGATGTAGAGGGGATTTCCAAACAATTGTGGTTTAGCAGATGGATGAGGTGCAGGTAAATTGAAGCTGCTGGCAGTAGTGGGGGGATTCTAATCACGTGTGACTTAAGAGTTTGGGTGGGCAACTGTGTGGAGGAAGGTCAATTCTCAATCACATACAGATTCAAAGTTGTCCAAGATTCCTTTCGTTGATTTCTCACTAGTGTATATGCTCTCACACCAGAGCTGAGAAATTGGAATGCTGGGAAGAAATTGTAGCAGTTAGGGAGCTATGTGGAGGTCATTGGGACACTTGTGGGGACTTCAAGACTGTTAGAACAATAGCAGAAAGGAGAGGATGCAATAGAATAACCAATGTAATGGTTGCTTTTTCGATCTAGATAGAGGACATGGAGTTACATGATCCCCATCTTAATGGTGGGATTTTTACTTGGTTCAAAGGGGCTAGCCACCACAGTGTTGCTAGGTTGGATAGGTTCCTCTACTCAATGGAGTGGGAAGAACTTTTCAGGAGCATTATACAACAAATTATGCTTAGAGTTATATCTGATCACAACCCTATTATTCTACAATGTAAAGACTGAGAACAGAGGAAGTCTTACTTCAAATTTGAAAACAGGTTGTTTAATGTAGAGGGTTTCAAAGATCTAACCCAGGTCCCAGGATTGGTGGAATGAATTTGTGTGGAAGGATGCCCAGACTACAAATTCAGTATGAAACTACAGATGCTAAAGCAGAAACTTAAGGAATGGAGTTGTGTAACATTTGGGGAACTCACCAATAGGAAAACAATTTATTGAATTGTGTTGGTTGAGATGGATCTGATTCAGAATAATAGAGTGCTGATAGAGGATGAGATGATTCGAGCAGCAATTCTAGTTGAGTTGGAAGAACTGTCAAAAAAATGAGGAGTCCAGAGTGGCTAAAGCAAGGAAATAATAATATCAAGTTCTTCCGAAGAGTGGCAACAACACATAGGAGGTACAACACCATTGACAAACTAATTATTAGTGGGAGGACATTAATGACCCAAAAGAAATCAAGGAGAATATAACATTTTTTTACAAGTGCTTGAAGGCATATAATGACTACACATGAATTGGCAGTTAATCAAGTAGATAACATGCAAGGTCTTGTCGACAACCTGGGCTGTAAAGTGGCTTCTCTTCCCACCAAATATTTGAGGATGCCCTTGGGAGCCAAAAACAAAGAGCTGGAAGTATGTAGTGAACTCTTGAAGAGAAGTGAAACGAAGCTGACACAGTGGAAGAGTCAATATATATCCCTAGGAAGTAGGAGGTAGACTGACTCCTATCAAATCAGCTACAGATGCCCTCCCAACTTATGTACCGAGTCTTTTCCCCCTGCCAAAAAGTATTGAAAAGAAACTCAACAAACTGAAAAGGGTGTTCCTCTGGCAAAGGAAATAAAGAGAAGCATGGCTACAACCTGGTTAAATGGAAGAGGTGGGAATGAGAAAAACCAAGGGGTAAGGGCATTAAGAACTTGAGTATCCAGAACACTAGTCAACTAAAAAATTGGTTGTGAAGATTCTGATGTAAAGATATGGCATTATGGAGGAGGTTCATCACTAAGAAATATGACCTACTGAACAACTGGATCACTGAAGAAGTTCCTGGCACTTTTGGTTGCTCTGTATGGAAAACTATCAGAAGATTGTGGATTGCTTTCAATGCAAAGGTGACCATTAGAGCGGGAAATGGTTTGAAGACTAGTTTCTGGAATGAGAACTGGATAGTGGATGAGAAACTGTGGATACTTTTTCCTGATTTATACATTATTAGCCTGCAACACATACCACTATATGCACATATTTGGAGCCCTCGGGGCTGGGATCTTATGTTCGGAAGGGCTCTAAATGACTAGGAGGTTGAAAGAGTAGCAGGCCTACTACATGCTCTAAACTAGTTTCCAGGCATCACCACAGAGCCCGACAAACCAGTTTGGAAATTACATAGTCTAGGAGTTGGAGAGGAATAGAAATCATTCTTTGACAACAGTTTGGCGGGACTTGGAAATTAATCTGGAAGAGATAAAGATTCCTTTAAAAGTTGTATGTTTCACGTGGTTGGTAATTAGAAGAGCATGCCTAACCCATGAAGTGCAACAAAGAAGAGGTATACAGATCTGTTCAAGGTGTGATATGTGTGGACAAGAGGCTGAAGTAAATGGCCACCTATTTCTACATTGCAGTACATCTACAGATCTGTGGAACATGTTCTTTTGTATACTTAGAGTAAATTGGACAATGCCTAGTGTTAGAATAAGAATAGGTTTATACAATCCTATTAGAATAAGAATAGATTTATACAATCCTATTAGAATAGGAATAGGTTTATACAATTCTATTAGAATAGGAATAGGAATAGAAATAGAAATAGGAATACTAAATAGTATCCTACTTGGTAAAGGATTGTATTCTAGGGTCTATAAATAGGGTCTCAATGTAATAATGTAGACACAACAACAATTCAATAATATTTTTTTCCTATATTTCTCACATGGTATCAGAGCCTCTACAATCTTGGT